GAATCCTTCCTTCCCCAGTATAGATGCCATTAGCCATCAGTATTTTTTTAAAAGATGATAGGTCCAAAATTACTTTGCAGATAAAGGCACTGCATAGATTTGAGGTTTTGACATTTTCAAACAAACTCGTCCTCCAGCTTTTAAGGCAAGCGAAGTCATTTTATTTCTTACAGACGGATCTTTTTTTATGGCTGTGTCTTAGAAGTGTTCAGACCAGCTGAATGCCTAACCTGGCATTTCTAACTGTGCTGAGAATCAACAACAGACTAGTCTGAAATTTGGTATCACCAGCTAAGGACACAACGAAGCCAGTGGGAAAGGCTGCAGTAATGGTTCTCGACCCGTTCAGAGAAAAATAGTTCAGTGAGTGAGAACATTCTTCAGCTTTTAAAAATATGCTTGTACATTTGTTTGTGAACATTGCGCCACCCTTCTTTGCCCTGGTGGTTACCACAGTAACTCCCTTGATGTTTATGGCATGGTGGATGACAGGGCTGTTCCCTCCACTCGAGGAGTGTGCAGGACTGTGCTCCCTGGCACCCCACCGGACAGGGTTGCTGGCTCCCGGGCAATGAGGCGTACGTAGGGTTTGAGCCACACACCTTTCTTTGTGGTTCATCCTGACTGCACGTCAGGCACTGAAAGCTTCTCGAGTGTTACTCCACTGTCCCATTTGCCAGTTTGGCAGCAGGATTTCATTCTATTAAGAGAAGTTTCTCAGATGGAGATTCCAGATGTGTCTAAGCTGCTTTTATTAGGACAATGGAAAGGTCCAACCTTTTCTTCTAAATACAATCAAGAGTAGTATGGCTTTGCCTTTGTAATTTTACAAAGAGTTGTATTACGTAACTGGAAAATTATCTCCCCGGGCACAGAGAGAATTTGTTAGCCCAGAATGCAGCTTGGAATAATGCTGACGTAAAGCTTCAATTCAAGAAAGAAACCTTTTAAGTTGCTGAAATGTAGTAGAGAGGAAGAAGGAAATTGCTGTTTTACATGATTGACCAAAATGCACTGTAATTATATCAACTTGAAACAGATTCCTTAGAAGAACTGATAACTCTGTGATCCGAACAAGTCATGTGTAGTAGAACTAAATACTGCATGTACTTTCTCTGCAAAGTGTAGACACGCCGCATTTGAGATGGGCAGTAGAAAAGACAGCTGTACTTGCCTTAGCCTGCTTAATGGGACCTCCAGCTGGTTTAGCCTAGTGAAGAATGGCGGGTGGCTTTACTGAGGAATTAGTATTTACCCTGCCTGCCTATCCTTTTGCACTGCTTTACCACACAGCTTGCGGACTCTCCTCATATAATGTTATTTTGATGTCGCCACTCCTGTTTGTAATTAACACAGCGTCACTCATCAATCAGTTTCTAAGTGGAACACTCCTTTTGGATTCCACTCACTGTTCTTGTTGCCTGTTCTAAAGTGGGTGGGTAAAATTTAATCACAGATACTTAGCCCAAAGGTAGCCTTCCTGTTTTCCCTCTTTGCTCCAGTGTCTCGACGTAGTGCTATTTTCTGTCAGCTACAGTCCACCCATAGATAGGAGATCATCTCCAAGTAGAGTAGTAATGGTATTTACTCAGTGCCAGGAAAACTCCTTGGCTGACACTGGATACTCTGAAACACTATTATCACTTGCATATGGTAATCATCTATTTGCATAGCTCCTTCACCTAACTAGAAGCTTCTAAAGAGCAGGATTATGTCATTTCTTTGTAATGCCCCAAATAGTGGATACCTACTACATACTAAGTGTTCAAGAACTCTTATTACCTGAATGAATGGCAGATTAGAACTAGTATCTGTCAGATTCTACACAAAGAAAGAAATTGCAGCTAACAAGTAAAGTGCCTAGACTTCCAATAGCAAAGTTAGATGACTAGTTATGAAAGAACTGTAGTCTGTATTCATCTTGGTGTAAGCTGACGGAAGACCTTCCTCAGTGTTACCCAAGCACACAGACGTCATAGACAAAGCCGATGTCTCTAACCTCAGCAGTGAAAGCGGGGCTAAGGTCATTTTTCTAGGCATTGGGGTGCACTTGCTTTGGCCCCTCTGCTGACTCATCTATAGTCCTTCTAGGACCAGGGTCACATAACTGGGGGAGGGCCTCACTGAAATACTCAGATGAGGAGCAGGAAGAGGTCAAATGGTCTCTACTGGGCTTTTTGACTTTATCTCATAAATTTCCTCCCCCAATCCACTCAAGTCTCCACCTGAGCAACTGAATTCCACAGCAGAGTCCTATAACACCTGTCCTGAAGGAAACATGGGAGGTTGCCATGGTGGGGGATCTCTTTCTTCCCTTCTCTTGAAAGGACAACTTTTCCTCACTGGCCTTTGTTTCTCTCATTTCCCCACCCGGAATGCCTTTTCCTGCTTACTCTTTTTGCCTCTGAATCCTGTAAGACCAGCTCAAATCCCTTCTCCTTCCTGAAGTCCTTTCTGACCCTCTGCAGAAAGCAGTAATTGCTCCCTCTGATGAACACCTGGGCTATTTGGGGCTGGTGCTACTTGACATTGTGGATATTTTTCTTTATATTGTAAATTATTTTTCTCATTTATTTATTTATTTATTGTGACTCTTGACAGTGAAGATGATGCTCCGAGTTTTTTAAAACCTGTAGATCTTATTTCATATGATGGTTATTTTAAAAATACTTGGTAATTTGGGAAAAAAGCATCTAGAAAGGAATTTGATGGAGGTAAATGAACTTAATGAAAATTATTACAGATATTATGAGAAAAATCTACAAGCTATTATAGTTTTATAATATATAAAACTATTTTAAATTATTTTCCTAAAAGAACAGTTAGAGAATAATGTTAGACTTCCTGACTAAGACCTAAGAAAATGTTTCATACTTAGCAATGAATATAGGTTACAAATAGGCAATTGCAGAGATGGAGATTCTTTTTCACATGAGAATCAATGTCATATTTTGGAAATCACTCCCTATGTTATTTGTAGTATAAACAAATTTTATGCAAAGTTATTTGTTGTGTAGGTGTACATATAGTTTTCTCATTGTACAGTTTTGGGTTTAGTGTTAATTCATTTGTATCCAAAGTACCAAGTTATCTCATCTATATGCAGTAGTCCAGAAATACCAAACATGGTCCATCTACCTGACCATCAAATCATGTTCTTGGTTCTAGACAGAACTGCTTACTGAGCCTTCTGGGCCAGTGGTTATGCATACACCAAATGTACCTCTAGGTCTGGAACAGTTTAAATGAGTTAGCTGTATTGGTCCATGATCTTCTGATGAGTTCAATACAGTTTAAATCTTAGAGATATAATTCTTATCTAAAAACTAACCTTCTAAAAATGATCATGCTAATAGAGGTTTAAGTTTGACAAACAAAACCATTATGAAGATGAATATTTAGGACATTTTAAAATTTGGCAATAGTAGAATATTGCTTGCTGGGTTGAAGAGGATCAAGAGGGTGTTGTGCTGAATGTATCATAAAACATACACACAAACACATACATGCATTTATTTAAAGAGAAAAAGGATTACCCAAGCAGCTCACCCCTTTCTTTACATTCCTGTTGCCTCCATTGATATTTTGGCATTATCCTCACCAGGATTATTATATGGGCTTCGTGGTTGTTTCGCCCTCCATATTCCCATTCCAATCCACCCAATCAGGCAGTAAATATTTTTGTAGGTATTTGTATGTGTTCTGCTGGAAGAACTGTGCTGGAATACTCAACTTCCTCATCTCAGAATGGCTGCCCTCCTGCACAATTATGTTCATCAACTCTCTACAAAATCAAATATAATCCAGCCTCACTTTCCAGTTTTATAATATACTCATTCCTTTCATATCCCCAACTGCTTCAATCAAAGCAAAATAGTCACCCTTTTCTGTGATGTGTCAGTTTTCAGTGTAATTCCCTGGGGCCTAGAACCATAAAATACATTGTTCTTAGAGGTAGAAGTGTTCATATTATAAATCCAAAATCTGAGAAAAGCGTCTTAAAGTAGATGATAGAAGAGGTGTTTTTGAAAAGTTCTTTTAAAAATTTTTGGTAAAATTGTGGAAGGAAGAACAGAAGGGCCTTCTTAACTCAGAACTGGGACAAGGAAGTTCAACACAAGTAGTGAGCAGACTAAAGAAACCCAAAAATGGAGAACTGGGGTGTAGGGAAATGAGAGTACTTGTCAGAAATCTCTTTAGAAACAAACTCCAAAGTAAAATACACAATGAGTAAGTTAAGACCCTCACATTGGGAAACTCCCAAATTTTGAAGGTTAGAGTCCCGAGATGCATGATCATAACCAAAAAGAAGAAGGAAAAAGAATTTCTCTTTCTAAAATGCAATACATTTTTACTGAGCACCAACCATACCGGACACAGTGCTTCTGTGAAAATTCAGGAAGCCTGAACATAATGACAAGCTCTGCTCCATCATGAAGTAGAAGTAGGGATTGTGAACTGTATCACAATACAACTGCAACTCTTCTTCTCAGCACAGGCTCCTGTCTACCAGAATGAATTCCAAATTCACAATCAGGATCAAAGTTAGGCCATATTAGCTGCTCTGTATTTTTAACCTTTGTATTAAATTACCATCAAGGGGGCACTAATTAAGATAAGAAATAGAGCTACTTATTTGTTTCATATGCACCTTCAGATTTCTGAATTATACATTAAAACAATCTATGACATCTGTGTATGCTTTTCATAAAAGAAAAAGGCATAAATGCCTCAGGGTGCATCTGCCTGGCTAAGAAACAGATGAAAAAAACTCTCTCTATAGTTTCTATTAAAGTACAGAGAAATATAATTTTAAAGGCTACAAAAATAAGGTAAAGATTATATAAGGCAAATATAGCAATAAAATCTATAGCAAAACCCAGAATATTTTAGATTAACCTGAAAAGGCTAAGTTTCCTAAGACTTTGAAAAATGAGGAAAGCCATTTGGCAAAATCCTTAACTTGGAATTTTTTTTTGTTTGATATTTTTTTCTCCTAGGTTCCAGATTCAGAGATGTGCAACTGATCCAAACAGTTACAAAAGCTTGGGAGACAGCTTTCGAACAATTTTCCAAATAGAAGGGTATGTATGGTTCTTTGTGTATGAACTTTATGTTGATATAAGCATTTGACATATTACTACATAACATGTTTTTCTCATTTTGAATGGCTCATTTTCCTAGTGTTATTAGAGGAAAATATTTAAAAGGGTGCCTTCCCACTTTTTTGTGTGTTTTTCTTGATAATACAATTGAAAACTAAATATGTATACATAAGAACTACCACAAAAATTATATTAATAATCAGTTTGCTGACTAGAAGACAATTTCTACTTTGTGCCATTGAGATTTTCTAAAGTTCTCATAACAGCAGCTATCTAAATATAATAGTTCTTTATTTTGATTCTTGAATATAGTGTCCAAATGTGTTCCTTATTTGCATTGTGGCTTATGAATATTCAAAGCAGAACTATGTCAAAAATTGATGTGTCAGATTTGTTATCCTATCTACTAGCTGATCAGATAAAAATATTTTTTTACATAAGCTAAAATGGTCTTTGATGTATAGACTCGGTTAAAGACTCCAGCATAATTTTCCAAAGGATATTAGATTTGCTTTTTGAAGTTGTTTTCATAAGAGAATTGGTTGAAAATAATAAGTATGCACAAAATGATAACAGTAATAGTAATAGCTGGTATATGCTTAGTCTCTACTATGTGCTAGAAATTCTCCTTATAACTCTGTGAGGTAGGTTCTATTAGAATCCACTTCAGCTGGACAAATGAAGAAATCAAGACTCAGAGGAATTAGTCATTTTCACGTATCTGATAAATAATGGAACTGGGATTCAAATCCAGGTCTGCTTGACCTCAAAGCCCATGCTCCTAACCTTTGTAGTTCACTACCTCTCTTGGCAGATTATACTATGGTCAGTTGTTTCTTTCAGTTAAACATATGTCATGGATGTCTTTCCATGGCAGTATATATATTTTTAACAATACCATAGTAATTTTTGTATCTACATGCTGCAATTTATTAAGTTAAACCCTTTGGCAGACCACTAGGTTGTTTGCAGATTTTCGCTAATCAAAACAATGGTGCAATAAATATCCTTATACTACTTTTTCACATTTGTGTGCACATAAATTTTTTTCTATAAAATAAGTTGCTAGCTATGGACATGCAGGATCAAATGATATGCACATTTTATAAATGTTACCCACTTATCTTCCAAAAAGTATCAGTCTTTGAGAATTCTCATTTCTCCACACCCTCTCAAGCACTGGACAATACCAATCATTATTTGGTATATCTGCCCCCCCCCACATGTATCTCCTGTTAATAATCCAACAGGTGAAAAATAAAATTGTCTACAAGCATTATTTTTATTGTAACTGGGATTGAACATACTTTTATAACCATTAGTTGTCATTTCTTTCAAGAATTTCTTGTGTTCTTTGCCCATTTTTCTTGGGTTAGACTTTTTATTGATTTGTAGGAGCTCAGTATATATTATAGGTACTAATTCTTTAACTATGACATAGATTACAGATCTTTTTCCCAGTTTGTCATTTTTCTTAGAGCTACAGTGCCTTACACCTTTCAGAACCTTGACATTTTTGAAGATTGTGGTTTTGTGATCATATCTATCTTTTCCTTTGTGATATCTGACCTTGTCACATTAGAAAGAAGGATGTCTTCTAACCCCAAGATTATAAACATTTTCTTCTGGTATGTTTCACATTTATATCATTAATCCATCTGAGGATTTTTTTTAATGCACTGTGTGGCATATAGGAACTAAATTTTATTTTCAAATGGTTAGTGAGTTGTCCAAACACCACTTGTTGAAAAATCTCGCTGTTACTCCCTTATTGGAAACGCCAGCTTTTTTGTATATTAAACTTCCACAGATACGTCATCTAAATTTTCTAGTCTGTTTCTCCATATCCTATTCTGTTTCATTAGTTTATCTATCACTATGCCGGTATCATAGTGTTTTAATTCATTTACTTTTGGAGTATTTGGGTAACATATAAAAATATGCCCTGCAGTAGAAAGCCTAAACCTATTTTTTTTCTTTCTTTTTTTTTTTTAAAGACTTCATTTATTTGAGAGAGAGAGAGCACAAGCATGGGGAGGGGCAGAGGGAGAGGGAGAAGCAGGCTGCCCGCTGAGCAGGGAGCCCGATGCAGGGCTCGATCCCAGGACCCTGGGATCATGACCTGAGCCGAAGGCAGACGCTTAACAACTGAGCCACCCAGGCGCCCAGAAAGCCTCAACTTCTTACTGTGGTACAGTGCCTGTGTTACTGTGGCCCTCCCTCCTTCTCCTGGCTCATTCCCCATACAGAGATCTGCTCTAAGAATAGCAGATCTGCTCACACTCTCATAGCTTTGCATGCTGGCCGTTATCTTCTTCCTGCAGGACCGACCCCCTCATCCACTCAGGAAACCATCCCTCTTCATTCAAGGATGCCCTCACATTTCTCTCTCTGACCATCTTTTCTCTACCACACGCTTTCTTTAGCAGTCATTCTTATGTGCTATGCAAAATATAGCATGAACCTCTCTAATTTACTGTGGCTATTTTCTGTCTCCTCTCTCCCACCCCAGGGATCTATTCCCCTAAGGGCCATTTTTCATTTAGCTCTGTATCTCCCATGACTGTGTTTAGCACTGAGTAGAGATAGTAAGTGCTCACTAACTGAATACAAGTCATCACATCAAAATCATAAGGATGCAAAACGAAACAGAGATAATAATTCTTGCTATTGAGCACCCCCCTCTGAAGTTATGATAGTAATCTTGATACCTGATTAAATATTTTTAGGTGACCTAGTGACATAGAATCAGCAAATTCTTGCTAGTACTCTGGTGATATGGTAACTAAATGCCATACATTAATGATACGCCTGCATCTATGACAACTGGGATCAAAGTCATGCTCATTTTACCCAGAATATATATATAAAGTTAAAGAAATCATAGTGCATTATGTAGTCAATAGCAGTGTCCCTTTCCAGTAAAACAGTAGTAGCAGCATTTCCAAGCTCTATAAGCTGCAACAGGTATCTCTGAATTGGATGTGGGAGTTCCTTAGCCAGGCTCTTTATTTCATGTGTGTTAGGAAGAAGTTGATGTTTCTGCTTTGATATCAAGTAATACAACAAACATACAGCATGTGTGGTCCTTGCATAGTAAAACTGGCCTTTTCCTAGACTGTATGTATAATTGCTTCTAGAGCAAATTGACATTCTGTCCGTAATGCCTTTAGATCTGGACATGTTATTAGCCCAAAGCCGGAGAGCTCTAGTCTCAGAGATGGAAATATTTGTAAAAATACAAAAGAAAAAGCTTCCTGTTATCTTTGATACAGAGCAAAAACATTTCATAGTGTTAAGTTAAAAAAACAAAGAAAGAAAAAAGAAAAGAAACCCTTTTAGCACATGTTCGGTTGAATCTTTTTCCTAGTGAAAGCAGTTCCTTTTCATTTTCTTATTTAGCTTTTAGAGTACACTCTGCTTTCAAAGATATTTTTCTCACTCAGGTGCATCCAGGCCAGTCTGGTCTGTGGCTACAGGAACATAGTGCAAGTCAGTGTGACCATTAGCATAGTTAAGACAATTCGTCTCTCCTGGTTTTTCCTACATCCCCCAAGTTAAAGGTTTTGAAAGCTATTTCCTTTCTCTTGTTTAAGAACATTAAAGTCTGATCATACTCTTTTTTTTTTTTTTAAGATTTTATTTATTTGCGAGAGAGAGAATGAGAGACAGAGAGCATGAGAGGGAGGAGGGTCAGAGGGAGAAGCAGACTCCCTGCCGAGCAGGGAGCCGGATACGGGACTCGATCCCGGGACTCCAGGATCATGACCTGAGCCGAAGGCAGTCGCTTAACCAACTGAGCCACCCAGGTGCCCAAGTCTGATCATACTCTTAATGTCTGCACAGATCTCCCATTTTCCTCCCCGCTGTAAGACAGGGAAGGGTACTCGTCGCCATCCTGAGAAATGCAATTCCCCACTTCTCTGCCCAGAATTCATGTTTACAAGGGACTGTGGCTCAAATACATGGGTCCAAGTCCCTTAACCACTTCTAAGGTTCTTTTAAGAAGCAAAAGCATCGATATTATGTACTTAATGAAAGACAGGGTTTTTCAACCCAGCTTTACCCCCGCCCCCCCCAAAAAAGTCCTTCCAAATGCTCTGCAAGGATTTCTATTATATGCAATTCTCATACCATGTATATTTACCAAAGAGGCCATCGTTGTTTTGTCTAATGGAGAAGAGAGAACTCACAGGCAAGGAATTTGTCACTGTTGAGAGTCCTCCATTATCACCATGATTTTTTCATCTTATTTCAGTTTGGTAAAAATAAACCCATAGGTCCATCTACTGAAATAGTGAGCCCAGAACAAATTTAGCCTAGCTGATTAGGTGCCTTTAAAACCAATTAGTTTCATTTTGTAAATTCTCCCGGCAAGTAGCAGCTGGTGTCCCCATTTACCATGTGTTCCTGTATCGCTTCTTCCTTCCTTCTGCTTCAGAGTATCTCCTGAAAGTTTTTCTAGTCTCTTTTGTACCTGTTGCTCTAAAAAGAGTGCTGGAGATGCTCACAGATGGGGTTGTAAATTATGCTAATGTAAAACCAGGACTGCCTGTCCCCTTACTCTCCCTCTTCTGAAAGCACCTAGTGACCATTCTTGCTGAAACAAAGAGGAAAAAGAATAAAACAGAACTTAAGATATTCTCGTGACATAGGTAAGGACAGATGTGACACTAATACTTATTTTTTTTTCAGTGTAACAGGCACGATGCTGGGAACTTTTTCATATATTATTTCATATATTATTTCCAATGCAACACTATTCTGAACACAACATAGCATTATGTCTGTATTTTGTATGAGGAAACAGAAGATCAGAGAAGTTAAATAACTTGCCCAAAGTCACACAAGTATTAGTGACATGTCATGGTTTTCCCATTATATTATATCACCTTTTACTAAACACCAAATTTTGTTATATACTAAATGGAAAGAAGACAATGTGAATATAGTGGCTATAAACCCCTAAGTTTTAAATA